ATTGTTTTTGCCTTCCATTTGTTTAGATTTGGTATTTTTTATTTGAATCAAATCTGTTTTCGTAATATTCTGACAACAAGGACAAACAAAATGTTAACGTTGTATTTATTATTTGAGAAACAGTTTAAGAAATCGTTGATTTAATTAGCCTATTCTATTCATGCAACTTTATTTCATTCTTAAAAATATTTAGTGTGAATAATATTTCGGTATACAAAAAGATATCATATTTAACGTATTTAAATAGATAACACTTTATTTCACAACAGAATATAAATTCGGACAAAATGAAAATTGTCTTACATTGAAAGGATGTGCCGACTCGGTTCCTTAACGGAAGATACACCGCAATCTCTAACACTTATTGCGGACCTTTATGCGCGAATGTAGCACCAATCCGAGAAACTACTTACCTACTTAGCTCAGAAAAAGTGAAAATAATATGGCGATAGTCGTATGCAAACTGTTACAGACTGATATAGAGGAAGCTTTAGTGTATCATCATCACTTCACCAGCCTTCATATGACAATTGCCAGCCTTTTAAAGAATGTTGAGTATGGTTATGGAGTTAACATTTTTAGAAGATTTAGTCATTTTCACGCCTAACGTTGATATCTGGACTGATGCCCTGGCCCCCGTCACTAGCCTGTGACAACGTATTGAGGTGGATTTTTCACTATATTTTGGTCGGTCATTAATCAAAATTCCACTACGTCTTGTCGGTGTTTTTTTATAGCATACGGTAAATGATTACCACAGCCCATGAACAACTGCAACACCAGCGGAATTGTAAATGCGTTGTCGTCCTTTTAAAAAGGAGTAGGCTCTTGTCTTGAAGGTCCCTAAGTAGTATCGGTCCCGAAAGAACTCAGGTGGTAGTCATTGACTTATATATTACTAGCGTAAGCACCGGGCCAACCGAAAAACTAAAACGGACCAGTGCGCTGGCCCTAAAATTACAGTTTAGGGCCAATGCGAATCGGTCGACAGTGGTGCGCGCGCAGGACAGATTTGGCTGTCATAAATATGTCAAGCTGCGTGGTAAAAGGATGCAAAAATTGCGATACGAAGATTAAAAAGGAACATGGGATATCGCATCATCGGTTAATAACCCTGTATTAATTTTGTTACAATTAAATTATTATATGTATGCATTTTTAAAGTTTTATTTTACAGTTAGTTTAGTTACGTTAGAAATATTAGACCAGGGTTGGATTCAAACCCTCAAAAATATTGTACATGAAAAATAAAATTATACTATTAAAAAAAAATTATATCACGTTTGACGTTTCATGTTTCTTTTTTCACATGTGGCGGGATTTTGGCGTCACGCGTCTAGTTTATATATACGTTTCGTTTTTGACGGTTTTATTTTTATTCCTGTTTTATTTTTTTTTTCTAAAAAACTTAGAATAAGTTTAATTTTGAATATTGGTACCTAATATATTTTATATGTAATAAGGGTAAAACGAAAAGAGTATAAAAGAAACCATATATGCCTAATTGAATCTGAAAATCTGATTCATAAAATATTTTGAAATTCTGTTTTCAAACCGATTGCTCCTGTAGCATAGAGTTTTTATCGTGGTAACCCCTCATTATAGTTGTATCAAGGATGTAATATAAATGCATCGATTGAGCACCGATAGACCAGAAAGGGAGCTAAATCTAATTTTATTTCAAAAACGCGGTACTCATGTATAATACAAAAATTCTCGAAATCGTAGGGTTAATATTAAAAAGTAAAAGGACCCAATAATAATACAAGTCGATCTTTAGGTAAATGGTGGTATTTACGCTTAGTATTATTACGATACTATATACTACAAACTATGAAATAATGGTACAGTTAGGATAATTATACTACGAAATCCGACCACTGGATGCGCCACTTTTTCTTGTATGAAAAAGTTTAGAGTAAAATATTTAGATGGGCCTATCCTTCTTTTTGAAATCATTAGTGGTAGTTGTTTCCCCAAGGAAGTTGTGCGAGGAAGAAAACTTCTTTTAAATCGCACCGTGGTGGACGTCCAATTGTCCAGATGGTATTGATCGCAAGTTTTATTTGCGATTTATGTGCGATGGTGAAATTGTGCAGCTGGAATTAGTCCGACAATTCCTCAGAGCACTCCCCCCACGGGGATAAAATGCAATAAAATACGCAAAGAGATGCAACATCTCGTCGCAGTGCCAGTGAGTCAAGCCGATTGGAAATAGCTTGGTCACGACGATTCGAACAGCTCTGCGCTGAATCTAATTAAATAAAAGGAGCTGGCACTGGGAGCCCCAGCCCAGAGATGGGAACAGTATTTCATGTGCGACCAAACCTGCGTCTTGTAAAGTTGCAGGCGGTGTGTCGGTGTACCACGGTGTGACTTCCGAAAGTACTCAAGAAACTAAGTATTGGGTCCTTACATATGAAATTAGCGTTTTATCGACCACTGATCTGAAATATCTCCTCTTTGGCTAAGAATACCAAATTCAAAGTTATAAATTCATTTAGCTGGTACATTTGAGTTTTGAAACCAGTCATTCATTTGGTTTTTCCTCATTATTTTTTTCCTTGGCGTTACTTATTACCGCACAATGGAAAAATGAAATATCGGTATATTTATGAGTACGAGTTCTACCGTGGCACCAGTGCTGCAGAAACAGCTCGAAGGATGAATGATGTATATGGCGCTGGTGTCACAAAATAAAGCACGTTACGTTTTTGGTTTCAACGTTTTCGTTCTCGAAATTTCGACCATCAGAACCAACCCCGTGGAAGGCCGGAGACCAAAGTAGAAAATGAAAAGAAAAGAAAGAAGAAAGAAAAAATAAGAAAGAATTAAAGGCTATTGTGGAAGCGGATCCATCACAAAGCACTTCAGACATAGCTGCAGGCTTCAGGGTAAGTGATAAAACTGTATTAATCCACTAGTAGCAAATCGGGAAAGTAAAAAAAAAAACTTGAACTTGCAAACACGCATCGACTGCTGTGTTACTTTGCTCAATCGACACATAAATGAAGGGATTTTAAATCGAATCATTACTTGTGACGAAAAGTGGATACTGTACGATAATCGGAAGCGCTCGTCGCAGCGGCTGAACCCTGGAGACTCAGCCAAATCTTGCCCTAAACGAAAATTGACTCAGAAAAGTTACTTGTGTTGGTGGACTAGCGCCGGTGTCGTTCACTACAGTTTTCTAAAATCTGGCCAAAAGATTACGGCGGATATCTATTGTCAGCACAGAAATCCCTTATTATTTAGATTTCTGTGATTGTCAGCAACTGCAAACCATGAAGGAAGATATAGCTGCTAAACAACCGAGGTCGGTGAATCGCTCTAGGCCACTGCTACTTCACGACAACGCAAGACCACACACTGCACAGAAAACAACCACTAAGTTAGATGAGCTACAATTGGAATGTCTGCGACATCCACCTTACTCCCCGGATCTTGCTCCAACAGATTACCATTTTTTCCGGAATTTGGACAACTTCTTACAAGGAAAAAAATTCAACTCCGATGCGGCAGTCCAAATCGCCTTCAAAGAGTTTATTGATTCTCGCCCCCATGGTTTTTAGTAAAGGGATCAAGGAACTACCTATGAGATGGCAAAAGTGTATAGATAACAACGGTGCATACTTTGATTAATGAAATATATTTTACTAAAAAAAATTGACTTTATATTCCTTCCGTACAAAAGCCAATTTCATATGTAAGGACCTATTATTTCAGTATGTACTCATATTATTCAAACCCAATGTCAATGAACTAAAAAACGGTCACGACGAACGTCACTTCTGCAAGGGCGTAAATATGAATTACAAAATAATAACTAACGTATTTGATTAAATTTCCAAGTACATCTCTGTATCGAATAATTAAGTTTTAAATGAAAATCAATGGAAAAGACGACGATCTGCAAATTAATTTATCAAGAAATTGTAATAATTTGATAAGAACTTGTTGTTTATAGTGGGCGTTGAGAAAGGTCAAGCTGAAAGACTGTAACATTAAATTGTGACCATTTACTTCGTTAATCGCAGAACAAGATAATACAAAACATTAATATTATATAATTATTCCAACGCCTACAGTTATTTATCTTAAATGTATAATCGAATGCAATTTGTAAAATAGTAATTTTACTTTAATGTTGATCCCCTTTTATAAACAAAGAGCTTGTTTAATGTTTCGTTTCGACGTTATTTTCAAATCGAGTAATAAAAAAATGATCTACTGCTGATCATTTAAAAAAAAACAATAAAACAACACAATTTAAAAAAATATTTTATGGCTGAATTCAGATCTATGCAGTATTATTTATTATAACTGGCCGATTTGATTTATCGCATAATTATGCATATATAATAGAATAGAATAAAAAAAATTGTATTTTTTTTATAGAATAAGGGTGACAAAAGAGCACAAAGGCCACCCGATGGTAAGTAGATGCTGACGCCCATAGACATCTACATTTATCCTCGATTAAGAATCAAAATGCAGATGCATTGCCACCCCTGAGGACTAAGATGGAATACCTGGTTTCCAGTAAAAAGGATCTCTGATTCACTACGAAACACGGCAGCATTAAGCTGCTAATTCACGCTAGTATCCTGTGAAAGTATAATCCTACCCCTGTCTATTCGTACTACAACCATAATATAGCGTGGCTCTACCACCTTTAAAAGTATAAACATGACGTCTGTTGTTTTTTTTATTTTCAATTTCGGTAAAGTTTAGCAATAGATTTAGTAAAGAACATACATGGCAGCGTCGTGTATCTACTGAAACCATGTCTACACACAGCTTGTCTACGACCTTTGATCCACTTAGAGATGCGAGTAGTTGCAATTGACTTAAAAATTCGCTATATAAATTTAGATCAAGGCACGCCGGTCATTATAAAATAACAAGTTTAAAAAAGGGTTGTCTACCTCAACGTAAACCCTGCATTGGCATATCGAGTGAAGTTTCCTTAAATTTTATCATTAAATTAAGCAACTCACTTTTTAAAACTTTTCCTTCTGGTGTACAGCGATTTAAATTGATTAGACAGTTCACATAATTACTCACTAATCTTTTGCTATTAAACAATGCATCTACATCCAAATAGTCATACCTAGAGTCGTATTTTGGTAAGTTTGTCATGGCATTAGTGTCCTGTCCACACACAACATTCCACGCACAAACTAATACGATGATCACAAAAAACATTTTGTCACTTAATAAAAAAATGAAAACAAATTCTAAATTTGAAATTACATATCTTTACAACTGGTATCAATTCCCACGCAAAAATGTCGAAGACCGTCCGCGCGACTCGAGGTTGCGTGTTGTTATGATCCGCGTGCAAGACCTGCGCGTTATAAGTTAGGTAAATGCATGTTGCTTTCTAGCCGGCGCCCTGAAGCAAGGCAGGTTCCTTTTGAAGGTTGTGTCTAATAGTTCTAAAAATTTGTTATCATCTAGAACCCAAAATTGGAGATATGATAAGGATATAGAACGACGAGTGAATGCGGGAAATAGAGTAAATGGGGCCCTGCACCCTATTGTGAAGAGTCAAAATGTGTCAAAAAAGGCACGTATGGCAATTCACAATGCTGTGTTGGTCCCCACTTTAACGTATGGTAGTAAAAGTTGGGTGTGGCAGAAGAAGCACGAGATTAGAATCAACGCAGTAGAAATGCGGTCGTTAAGGAGTATGTTAGGGCTGAATCTGAACGACAGGGTAAGAAATTGTGTAATAAGAGAAGAGCGTGGTTTGCAAGATGATGTTGTGACCAGGATTAAGAAAGGAATGCTTCGGTGGTTTGGTCATGTGGAAAGAATGAATGAGGAAAGAGTGACAAAGAAAATTTATGTTGCAGAAGTCAATGACAGAGTCGGAAAGGGACGTCCTAGGCAAAAATTTATCGACCAAATTGGCGATTTATTGAAAACGGGCCAAATTAGGGGTACCTTTAACCGACGTGCATGTATGCGTAGGTGTATGGATGTGAAGGAGGCGAGAGAGGTGTGTCAGGATTGTGCCAAATGGAAGTCTGTAGTCTCTGCCTACCCCTCTGGGTGACAGGCGTGAGTGTTTATGTTTATGTACGAGTAGATAATTTATTAGAAGCTAGTACAACCAATACTTATTAAGAGCGGGACAGTATTTCATGCCGGCACACCGCCTGCAACTTTACAAGGCGCAGGTTCAGCCGCACATGGAATACTGTTCCCATCTCTGGGCTGAGGCTCCCCAGTACCAGCTTCTTCTACTTGACCGTATCCAGCGCAGAGCGGCTCGAATCGTCGACGACCGAGTGCTTTCCGATCGGCTCGATTCACTGGCGCTGCGAAGAGATGTTGCATCTCTTTGCGTATTTTATCGCATCTATCACGGGGGAGTGCTCTGAGGAATTGTTCGGATTAATCCCAGCCGCCAAATTTCGTGAACGCACTACAGGTCAAACGTCCCGATACCATCCACACCATCGGGATGCTTGGCGGTCCACCACTGTACGTTTCACAAGGAGTTTTTTTCCACGTACAACCTCTCTGTGGAATAGTTTACCACCGGCGATTTTTCCGGACTGATACGATCTGGGGACCTTCAAGAAAAGAGCTTACTCCTTTCTAAAGGGCCGACTACGCACCCGCAATTCTCCTGGTGTTGCGGTTGATCATGGGCGGCGGTAGTCACTTAACATCAGGTGAGCCACATGCTCGTTTGCCCCTTCTTCTATAAAAAAAACCTATTCCATATTCGAGTATTTATGTTATTCCGTTTATCCACCCTAAAGGTTCCACCCTAGGGCGTATACTCGGAAACGCGTGTTCATCTCACCCCAGACGAGGTGGATAATGGGAATTCACTTTTATTTGTCTTCTGACTTTTTACCCCAGGTACTTTGAACTGTATTCAAAACATACATTTTAATTATTAATTAGTTTATACATTTTAATTATTAATTAATTTTTAATAACCACAAACCTTACCAAGAAACTTATTACGTATTGTCGTTACCGTTACAGCCTATTAAACTCTTAGCATTACGTATAACATTTAAATCAAATTAAACTTACTCGTTTTAAATAATAATATTGAGTATAATTTATAAATTCATCAATATGTCCAGGCAATTACCACCACTAATTTCATTATTGAGTAGGCGTACTCGTAATTTGATATTCTGGATTTGCAAGTGTACATTAAAAGTGGCAAAGGGCATTGCCCATTTTGGGCCATGGAACGCCCAACAATGTGCATTTGTTAAAAAAATATATCTTTATTTATGGTTATTAATCGCGGTATTCATTTATCCTAAAACAATGGTAATATTTTTGCACAAATTAAAAGTACAGAAAAGATAAGAATAAAATTAGGTAAAACAGTAATTCATTAGTTTGTGAATAAAATAAAAAGTGTTACCAATCACAAATCTCATTAAAAAAATCGATTCCCCTTTTCGATCGATTACTTACGGTGTCATTAATACAATGCTTACCTATATAATTTTTCGATAATTATTACGATGTTATGATATAGGTTTAAAATAACCGTTGACAATGGATATTTATCCAAAGCAGCCGATACGCAACCGTCATTAACCAGTTGTTTATCCGACTACAGACGAAAAAGGATGGTTATGTTTTTACTGTGTGTGCGGGTTAGGCTATGTTGAATTGTTTTTTGCTATGGTGCTTAAAAAAAGTAGGATGCATTTTATTATTGAGGGCGCTACTATCAAAGAATATTTCTTCGACCAAATATAAGTACTTGACCAACTTTGAGAATACTTTCACCACTAGATTGTTATGTATAATTTTAGATATTTAATATAGGGTTAATTTTATTATAGAGGGCGCTACTTTCAATGAATACGTTTTTTGGCTACCGCGAACGCGGTTAGGCTCCATATTCGCATGCGGCTCAGTCGCTTACTGATGAGTATCGCGAGCGATTATGTGTTTAATATTTGCTATAAGCTATATTTTAGCTGAAGTATTAGTAAATTTAACACTTTTTTTAATAGAATAAGGGAGAAAAACGAGCACACAGTCCACCTGCTGGTAAGTGGATGCTGTGGTCCATAGACATCTACATTTATCCTCGATTAAGAATCAAAACGCAGATGCGTTGTCACCCCTGAGGACTAAGATTGAATGCCTCGTTTCTACTTCTAGTAAAAAGGGTCTCCGGATCTCTACACTCACCATACGACACATAGCAGTATAAAGCTGGTATTTTACGCTGGTATTCTGTGAGAACGTGGTCATTCTCTGATCCAGCCGACCCACTCGTGCTACAACTATATACTACAATAACTGCAGCATGCCTCTATCAAGTATGTTTTTCTTTATGTCCTCGTAAAAGTTGACTTCTGGAGATGGGCCTCTGGAGAGGATTTGACTCAAACGTTACGCTTAGCAGGCGGGTTGTGATCACGGTGCCAGTCTTGCATTTGACACTTCTGCCCGTAAACGAGATGTTTATACCATCATCTATCGGAAGCTTTAAGATTTTTCCAGGCGTACCATAGTCGCACCAACGGATAGAGTAAGCTAATAATATTCATTATTAAATGGCACAAACATTAATTTCCAAGAGATGACCATATATTTTTAACATTGAAGTCTATCGGTCTATGTGGTCTGCGCGCGGTGAAGTTTCTAAAGAAACTGTATGCACAACTCGTCGTCGTCACTGAAGACAGGAGGGCTTGTTCTTTTTCCGCCCTTAATCTAAGAATAGATAGCCATTAGCGAGGATAAATAGCCAGCGTTCTTAGCCTTATGACTCGGTGAATAGAACTGTGTAATAATTTTAATTTTTTAGGTTTTTATTGCAATATATATATATATATTAATATAGTAAGAACTGAAAAGAGACGTAGCTCTTAAGGCGACACCGCGAAAAAATGCAAAAGTCGTAATATCAATTACATTATTTTCTAAAGCTTAAATGTTACAGGGTTTGCAATAATTTTAATCAAATTATTTTAGAATCGTATTGATTTTGACGGCTCCGTGCCGCAGTGGTTTATCATTGACTTGTCTATGGGCCTATGGGCCGCGAGCTCGAATTCCACACGGAACAAGTATATATTTAGATTGTCTACAAATATTTCTTTCAGATCTGGATATTTGTCCTTATGCAATTGATGCGTGTAAAATTATCTCCACAATACAAGAGAAAATCCTAGTGTGGAGGTAACGTTATTCATATGTAAAATATATGATATAAACGTTGAGCCAGCGATTTTGTGCAAAACTTTATTTTCTTATATAGATATATTTTAATAAGAGACTATGTCGTAGGTTATTTTTTACTGTTAATGTGTTTCAAAAAGTTTCCTCCTTTAATAGAATCACTCCAAAAATTACATACTCTTTAGTAGTTTGGTATAGTGATTGTTTATAAGAAAGTGTACATGGTACAATAAGTGACTGAAGCACGACTGCATAAGAAAAAAGAGTTAGCTCGACCAGGAAAAACTCGTTTACAGTTTACATAGATACCTTTTTATTGCTCATGGGTGACAACGCTACCTTTTTTTTAGAAAACTAAAGGAACTCACGAATTTACAGTCCACCTTATGGTAAGTAACTACTGCGGTCCGTGGACCCCTGCAATCAACTTCAAACAATGAAGGCTACAGATCGGAGGACGAAGATGGAGTGCCTCATAACCTGTAATGTAGCTCTATTCAGACAGGAACACAGCTGTACAGGCTATACTATTTGGCGGCAAAAATAAATAAGAGGACATTACTTTTCCAGACGGTCACCCAGACAGAAGACACGCACTACAACCTAGTAATATAGATTTTGATTCTTGATAGGTAAAAAATTTGGGGGGTTTCTAGATCGTAGCATTAACCATCACGTGAACTGTTTGCTCGATTATCACTCTTGCTTCTAAAACTTTTATTTAATGATATGTTTATGATATGTTTATATTGATCGATTGATGATAATATTTATGTTATTAACTGCAAAAACTAAATACGTACAACGTATTGTACATAACTTATACTAAAGGTACTCTTTGATCGTGGGATGACGAAAAAAAAAAGAAATCACTCTGAACTTTCTTCGTTCCACGTGTCGCTTTGATAAAGGTGCTCCGTCTTTTTTATAGAATTTTATATTTGTGTCTGGACTAAAAACGAAAGTATTATACTTTTTTATATTCCTTGTAATATAGTAAACACGTAGATATATAATTT